CAAGTATTGGTGTGGTGAACTCTTGCACTGCCCTACTCTAACCTGCTCCAGGAAGGACTCACCGCTCTGACAGCACTTCCAGAGTTGTTGATGCCCACCTGTTAGTCTTGGTTGCTGAAATGACTGTCATAAATAGACATGCTGATCCTTTCACCTAATACAGCCACCAAAGCACCAGAGCAATGACAGTGACATTTTAGGTATGCAAAGTGAAAAGCTGAAAGTACTTAGAGAAAGAAAATAAGTCCTATGGTAGGATGGCTGGAATCCATGGCCAGTTTTTAATCTCTTACTGTGCCTCATTTAAGATTAAACTTTATCACTGATATATATGTGCAGAGAGAAAGAAAAGCATAGTATATTATTGGATTCAGGGTTAGTCTGTAGTTTCCGGCATCCACTGGGAGCCGTGGAACACATCACAGATAAGAGAGGCTGACTATAAGTTTATAACTATGAAACAAATTTTAGGACATATTTTATTTTAATATAAAAAGATAAAATACTGAAAATGCTGTCTTGGAGGTGTATTACACTAGGACAATAGAGAGCACTGACTAATCCTTTTGTTTCCTGAAGGCTACATAGTAGTATAGTCAGAAGTGTGCACGCACCCTGGTAGCTCTGAACGTTCACCTGAATGTGTCAAGAAATTAATGTATCAGTAGCGTGTACCTTTAGGTGGCAACACATACAGTATATTTAGCTTTCCCCTTAAGGCATGTGACAGTCCAGCTTCTTATCAAGCGCTTTCACCTTGCTGTTCATTTGGGCTGGAATCACTTTAGGGAAATGACTTTTTGATTTTATGGCATTCTGCTGCATTGTGAAGATTTGGGTACTGTGTCATTCCTCCAATAAGAGGATTTAGCAATTTAATGTGAATCTTTTTCAAAGCAGGGTGAATTATCTACATATAAAAAGGTTGTAAAAATGTCCTCAATATTTAAAAATTTTCAGAATCTAGTATATATTTTTTATTTTTTAAAATGACTTAATTGGTACATTTTGGATATACATAATGATGACATGCATCATAGGGAATTTGTGCCTGTACGTATATCTGGATTGTTCCTTTTCCCCTAATCCTGTCCCTTCCCTTCAATTCTTCTTTCCTCCTTACTCACAAATGTTTTGTTTCAGTATTTCTTCTGTTCTCTTTCTGCCTTTTCCCTTTCTTCCTTCCTCTCCATCCCTTGTCCCCTTCCCATTTGAATATTTTCTTCCTGTTTCCTAATATCTATTTTTCTTTTTGGTCCACATTTACCCTTTTGGTTTCTCACACCATAGAAACAATGCAGAATGATAAAAAAAAAAACAAATAAAATCAACAAGCACATTTTTTAATAGAAAATTTAAACATATACCTCTTACTACACTTTCCTGTATAACCTGTAGATTAAAGAGAAACAGAAGAATGTGGAAAGACTGAGAAATCTGGATGGGTAAGAGATCGCGTGCTAGACCTATGCATGCAAGTTAGCTTTCCTGTTGCACATCTGAGAGGCTATTTCTTGGTGTTTAGGATAAGTCTTTTGTTTGAATTCAGGGTCAGTTTTACCTTTATGGAACTGGCCACTCAATTTTTAAATGTTTTTTTCTCACACTAATCTTCAGACTTTCTAAAAAATTATAATTCAAATGTACCCTAAAATACCATTTCAAAACTTCAGAGATGAAAGTTAAGGAATAACAACAGATTGATCAAATAAGATAAGACCACTCCATTCATAACCTTAAACAAGCCACAAATCCTGACGTTCTTGCCTTTCTGTAGCATCTTCCACGTTGACCTTGGGGGGAAATGGGAGCCAAGAGCTAGCAGCACACAGGTGAGTGAGGCCTCACGGGTTTTTCCAGCCAGGCTGAGCCTGGTAAAAGGTTTAGGCTGGGTAGAAAGCTTAGTATCATAAGCACCTGCTTGCCAAGCACAAGGTCCTGAGTGTTCCTCCCACAGAAAAGGCTCACTTGAGTAACCCTGGGCAGTGTCAGACAGAGCAGGACAACTACCTAGCTGCTCAAATTCCTGACCAATAGGAATTTGATTGATTTTATTCTAAGTGTGTACAGTAAGTGCCTGACTTACTAACGTTTGAGCTGAGGAGTTTCAAAGATACAGTCAGACCTTGCATGACTTGTGCATGCAGATAAATCATGGAAGTGGTCTTGTGTCTGCCAGGCATGGTCACAGCTGTGCAGCTGTATGCCTACTGTACAGTGTGACATTGCACAATCTCACAGTGCTCAACCAGAAGAAACAGAAGGAAAGGTACTGCTGATGTTGAGGGGCTGTGCTGAAGCCCAAAGCAGTAACCATGGAAACAACAGTGAAAATACTGTACTATACTATGCCACCATGTTAAGGGAACTCTAAAAGTTAAGCAGTTTATTTACAGCATGTGGGTGTTTAGTTTTTTAATGCTTTCTGCTGTGTACTTGTTTAAGTGTGTATGAAACTCACTTTTTCAGACTAAAAAACAAATTTGACTCACAAATGTTCTCCCAGAAAGGAACTTGTTTGTAAGTCAGAGATTTACTCTAAACTTTCTGGTAATTTGTCACACAGTGGACAGCACAAGTGATGGATAATGTACATAGTAAATGCTAGCAAGGCCTTTTCATAGCTGTTTCTGGAAACAACTCTGAATTGCATTCTTCACCTGCACAACCTGCTTGTATTTCCAATTTGTTTGTTATTGAGTTTGCATCTCCTATTCTAACTAGTCACTTGGGAAGAACAGAGACGGCGAGTTGAGGTGACAAGTACGACAGGTGATGGTTGCTCTTCTTTATCAGCTACCACCACACAACAAGTCCTTGGTGGGTCTTAAAGGAGTAGCCCTTCTGATGATGCTGTGAATTGCAAATTCAGTTTCCTATACATTGTGGTCAAAATAGGGTAGGACAGTATGGAAGAAAGGAATTATCCTAAAAGAATCTGTGACACATGTACCTTCTGTGATCCAATCAAGGCAGTTCTCTTCCTGGTTGCTTCATACGGTATTTTATCCTAACACCATACTAAGAGTTTCTCAAGAGATTTGATCTTTAAAGAGTGGCTACTTGAAATGTGATGTTTACTAGGTTTCTATCCTTTCTATTTTGGAACTAATGTGCATTAGTAGAAGAGCAGATTAGGAGCAGAGTTTGAAGCAGATAAGGAACAAGGCACTGCTTCTGGGAGACAGTGATGTTCAGTAGGCAGTGTGCATTGTTCTGCAGGTTAGACATTGTACTGTAGCAACCGACTGTTTCTAAACAAAATGCCGGTATACCCAAAAGAAAAAGATGCAACGGGCCGATATGTATGACTAATGATATCATAATTGGTGTGTCCACTGCTAATGCTAAGCTGCTCCTCTGTCTAGCATGTATGCAGGTACAAAGTGCCAGTAGAGAACCCAATCAGATAAAGACACAAAAATGACACTTACAGAGAGTAGTATTTGGACAGCACTGTGAATGACCTCTAGGTACTGGAAATCGACGACACAGCCCGTGACAGAGACGTATGTGTAATCATCCATCATGCCGTGGGCTGATGGAGGCAGCACTCTCCGGATGCATCCAGGCCCGTGTTCTCTCCACCATGACCGGTGTACAGAGATGTTGAATGTCATGAGGTCTGTATCCTAGATGGACAGGAGGCAAGAAATCAAAAGGAGACAGTTCTATTACAACGCATCTTTGGTTTGACCTTAAGAAAAATCAGGGTGGATGGAATTACTGAAATTATATCAATTTTAAATGAAAAGGAAGAAAAGAAAAAGCCAAAAATAGCTACATGTGTGCTATGCTTGCATCCTCAGTTTATTGCTTTTTAATGGAGAGATACAATCATGTGGATAATTACAACACGACAAGGATAGCACCCAACAGAAGTCCAGAGCTGGAATCCTCCACAGCTGTTTATTGAAAAATTATTGAGTTTATTTTGAAATCTCTTGCTGTGTTTTCTTGTTGTATCACTGTAACTAACACGATCATTATCATTATAGGGTCACATGTATTAAGTGCTTTATTATATATGCTAGATGTGGTTCTAAGAAAATTTTATATATGACAGTTGTCCCTGGGTATACATAGGGAGTTGATTCTAAGAGTATTTTTTTTTTTTATGTTATTAGTACAGGGTCTACAGGGTCTCACTACACAGATCAGACTCATAGTGATCCTCCTGCTTTTAGCCTCCCAAGTGCTGGGATTACAGGCGTGCACCACCGCACCCAGTCTCAATCGCCTTCTCAGCACGCTCTGGAGATGGGGCAGATACTGAACACCAGGGATCGACACCTGCCAAAGCAGGTGCTTTAGTCTGCTGAGCTATCTGGCCAGTCCTTCTAAGAGTATCTGTAGATACCAAGATCTATATATCCTCCATCCCTTATATAAAATGTACACATGGCCTATATATTTTTCTGATAAACTTTAAATCATGTCCCCATTACTTGTTGTTCCTAAGAAAAATGTAAATACCACATACATAGTTCTTATACTCCTTTATTCTTTTGTGAGTAATGAGAAAAGTGTTCTTACACTTGAGTACAGATGCAACTTTTTTATTTTAGTATCTTCCACCACTGGATAAATTTATAGATATGAAAGCCACATAACTGTCAATCTGAGTGCACTTCTTTTAATTTTTTTTATTAACTTACTTGATAATAGGTTGAATAATCATTTCTACAGATATGTTTAGTCCTAATCCCTGGATTCTGTGCATCTTACCTGATATGGTAATTAAAGACAGCATAGATAATTAAATTAAGGGTCAAAAAATCAGGAGATCATCCTGGATTATGTAGGTAGGCTCCAGCTACAATCATATGTGTTCTTATAAGAAAGAAACAGCAAAAGATTAGAAACAAAGAAAAGAGGAAAAGACAGTGTGAGGCAGGGATTGGCATGATGCAGTTGCAGCTAAGAAATGTTGTTGGCTACCAGAAGGGGAAGAGGCAAAGAAAGATTTGCCTCTAAGATTTGAGGCAGAGATGGCTTTGTCATCATCTTTAACTGTGCTCAATAAAACTCATTTCAGACTTCTGGTCCCCAGAACTGCTAGAGAAGGTATTTCTGTTGTTTAAGCTGCCAAATTAGTGGTAATTTGTCACAGCAGCCATATGTAAACAATATGGGTTAAAAGTAAGTCACAGGGCAGTACACAGCTTTCCCCGAGGTGCGCAGATGATTATTGGCAGAGCGAGGCCTTTGTCCCACGCAGACTGCACTTCTAGCTGCCCCTCTGGTGCTGGGCACTTTCTCACGTTATCCGATGTCTTGCCCTACCCTCCTCGACCGTTCCCAAGACTATGAAGGAAGCTAACTTTTCCCCATTGTTTGCAGAAAACCCAAGCACACTTAAAATAACAAGAACATTTTTTTCTGATTAATTTTATTCAGAAAGAAATAACAATGAGACAGTTTCAAAATTGGTAGGTTGGTAGGACAGTTACAATAATTAATACATTTTACATGGTTATTTTTGTAGTAGTTATTTATAGTAACAAGAACATTTTTAAGTATTTAATTTCACCATATTAAAATATTGCCAGAGTTCTGAGTTGAGACAAAAACCCCAAATTTTTCATCCTGAAGTGATAGCTGTTGATATAGGGTCATCATCTCTAATCTGAAAATCTGAACTTCAGACAGGGGAGATGGCTCAGTAGAATAAGCACATGCCTGAACTATAAAGCATTCCAAATATGAAATATTTTGTGTTCAGCTAAATATGGAAGTACAATTTTAAAATTCTACATCTGACTTCCAGTGAAGAGGTCCAGTCAAAGTACAGGTACAAAACAAACACTGTATAATATTACTGTCAGATTATATGTATCACATGTCTATAAAACATAAAGGATAGGTTTGAGACTCATCCAAAGATATCTCATTTTCCTATATGCAAATATTCCTAAGCCCCTAAAACATGAAATTTGAAATATGAAATGTCCCAAAGATCTGGATAAGGGTTACTCAATCTATATTTCTGGAGTGTCAGCTATGAAGTACTAAGACTATAATTTTTTTCAGAAACAATACATTTAAATGAGCCAATAAGGAACCTGGGCCTTTCAAATGAACTAAATACTTTCAAATTAACTTTCAAATGAACTAAATACCACAAAAACCCATAGGAAACAGAAAAGAGAGGGACTGATGCTGCAGAGAGGGAAGCTGGAATCTGGCCCAAGGTGCAGCACAGCAGGCAGCTGTGAAGGTGGAAGCAGAGTTAGTTTCTGTTGGCTCCCAGCTCCACCTCTGAGTAAGCTGCACTGCCAAGTGGTTGTGTTGGAGCAGGCACAAAGAGAGCCTTGGTGGAGAAGCCCAGAGCCTGCTGCCCCACTGTACAACCTGAAGCTGTGTGGTTGTACTTCTGAGTGCCCTTGGAGAACACTTTCTACCTCTGTGGCCTAGGCAACCCCTGAGGACCTGAAATGGAGAATGGAACTTTGGGGAAGCTGGTGGGAAATGGAAAACCCTTGAACTTATGAAGAGCTGAAGCTAAAGTGACCAGTGTACAGAGTTCTGAACAGGGTGGTGGAGAAGCCTGTCTCCCACACTCTGTTGTATATAAAATTGAACCTTAGGTCAGAGTTATTCCTAGTGTATGTCAGTGGGTAGAGTTGCCTTTAGATTTTCCTCAGCTCAAAGAATTCCATGTAGCTTATAACTGTGTTTCCAGTTCTATCAATAATAAAAGATTTTATATGTTTCTGTTGTTGGCTTGCTATTTAGTTACCTTTGCAGTAACAGTGCTTTATTGACAATGAAACATTTTGCCTTATTTTTACAGATTGTTGATTTGCTGCATGATCTGCAGTTAGCCTCTGAAAAAACTATAGAAGAATAATTGCTTTTTCTTGTGAATTCAGTTTAGTACAAGGCAGCTTACCCGCAGGCAAATTTTGAGATTGCTTTCCTTCTTGGTCATCGGATTTAATCTTTTACAGGTAGTTTTGATCACTACAGAAGAACTATATATTATTTCTATATTAATAGAATGTATTGGGTTCAGGATGAATTACCATGATGTGAAAATTCATAGCAATTCTTATGCTTTAAACATTTGTATACAATGAACTTTTCTATTGCAAAATGTAAGTTTTTTCAATGTGACTTTGCCTAAAATTTACATATAAAATGTAAGTCAATTTATGCAAATGTTTTTACACTCAAAGCTTACTATTATAATTATCAATCATAGGAGACACACTTTTATAAAATGTACCATATTTGCAATGGGTGCATTCAAATTTGAATTCCACCATCAATATTATAAAATTGTACTTAAAGCTCAGATTTTTAAAGTTTGCTATGAAATTTTATTTTAACTTTGTATCTTATTTCATCTGTTCAATACTAGGTTCAGGCATTATGAAATGCACAACATATCACAAGTCAATCTCTTATGCAAGGCATGCCAAATGAGATACAATATAGAAAGATGTAAGAGTTTTTATATGAACATAAATACTGATCATTTATTCTGTTGAAACTCTGTTATATATCGAAGTCTGTAGTCTTAAAATATGAATGTTAGCTCTAAAGAATGTTTAAAGAAAACAATGTTAAAAAGAATTTTGATTGGTTTAGAGTTCTTATTCACCTCCTAGCTTTAAATATTATGTGATGATTTAGGAATACCATGGTTATGACATTGACAACTGATGTCTTTGTTATTGTCTTTAAAATTTGAAAACACAAAAATGATGTTTGGTTTTATGCATATGTACATGAATAATGATAGAACATGCTGCCCCAAAATATGCCTCTTTGGCATAAGGACTATTATAAGTAGAAGACAATTTAAAAATATTCTTTCTCCTTTTTCCCTCTTATAGGCAAGTCATGATTCTACAAATCGTTTCTTCCATTTCCTCCAGGAAAGGCAAAAAGTGAGCGCCATAGATGACTCCAGACTGGAGGCTGAGCCAGAGGGATCTGCAGACCAACCTCACTCTCCCACCTTTATCTACTATTAGTTTCTCCAGCCTGGCCATGTCCACACTGTTCTTCTTTGTTTTTAGAAGAAAATGACATTTAAGACTAAATTGCAAGTCAGCCGTTTAAAAGCTAGTCATTCTGTGGGGTATGGCCTAACCAGGAGTGAAGTACACATGCTAGTGAACTTCTCTTTGATTTTCTCTTGTTAATCTTTCTTTTGTTATAAAGACTCCAGCTAAAAACCAAAAAGATTAGAAAGAAAATATTTTTCCTCTACATAACTGTTTACTAAGATGAAAGCAAAGAAAGCAGAAAGTGAAACACAACAGGAGGGTGCTGGAGGTGCAGGGTGGTGGGAGAGGACACTCCAGGTTGTTGGTTGTGTACTTGATGTGCCTTTCATGAGGTTCAGGAGTCAAACTTGGTAAGTGACGAGAAAGTAGGGATGATGGCTTCAAGAGTAGGCAGAAAGAGTAACTGTCAATATGTGGATAACCAGATAGAAGCTATTTCTTCTTATACTCACAAAATTGTGACTTAAGTTTATTACTATTTGCTTTTCCTATCCAAGTAAATATTAAATGTTCTTTTATCACATTATTGTGAATTCCAAAGATGTTCCCACTCTCTTGGAATGTATGACTGTATGACTGGAATGTATGTGTCACAAAATGACTCTAGAAAT